TTCTATACCGCATTTCATTGGCATAATGTTCTCCAACGCTGGGAATATTTCGCAAGATGGAGTCAGCTACGCGTGTAGTTGAGCCCAAAATCGAAGAGGCTGCCGTAGGAGACCACGTTAAATCAGCGGGAGTCATTGACTCTACGAACGTGACGAGCCGTGGAGTCTCCGCGCCAATCCAGTCCTTGAGGAAGCTTCTGGGGACATCTGGCACTACCATAAGTGCCAGGAACCCATATGCCAGGCAATCCAAAGAGGATGGACGGCTTCCGCCGAAGAAACGAGGCGACTTGTCCTCTAAACTGCTCTCTCCCAGCAACGAATTCACAACGGATAGACAGTCCTCCGCCAACCCATACAACCGTATAGCAGCAGCCTGTTCAGGCGTCATCTCCTCTCGCACAGTCTTCTTCGTCCGCGCGGGCAAATGCCTACGAAATGTTTCGGGCAAGGCGTCCCGACCAGCAGTCAAATGCAGTCCGCCATTTGGATCAAAGTCTGTATCCAACTCGGCGAGACCAAGATGCTCCGCGCGCTGAGCAGCCTCGGCTCGTATCAGCGGCGGCAGGGTCCATGTCAAGGGGAATGGTAACAAGGCGCTATAGGCCGGTCTTGTTGTTGCAGACCAGTTCGCGGCCGAGACGTAGAGAGACAGATCGACGAGGGGTGCGGCGTTGGCCAGCAAGTAAGCACCGTATGCAATGGTGTCTGCTTGCTGGACAGGGTCCAAATTCGCATCGAGGTTTGTACAGAGTGACTTGGAGGTGAGGTAGTTTACTATTGCTTGATAACCGCTAACCCATGTGCCAGCATGGTCGAGAGCGGGGAGAAGATCTGCTCGGAGTCGGTCAGATGGTTTGAGGTCAAAGTGAACAGCACCGTGAATGATGCTCGATGGTTGGGCATACTTGATGGGGATGCGGAAGGATAGTTGCTCGGGATGAGGCGCCAGCCGCTGGCAGGAAGCGCATTGCGTAGATACGTGATGATCGCGAGGCACTCTGCGTCAATAGAGGCTAGGCCAAAGGCTGGTCCCCAGACATGAAGCTCCAACATGGTGTGGTTTGGCCAAGCTCAATGCGTTGTTTCAAAATGCTGGCTTTGCCGTCGTCACACCCTTGGGAGTCCGTTAGCGCGCCGCAAGAAGATCAATCACCTCCGTTGACGCGGCTCGGCTAGGAAAATCTGGGGGGGTGGTGACAGGCTATGGTGGTGTTGGCCGCGCAGATGTCTGGAGCAAGGTACGGAGTACGGAATGCAATAGATTGCAATACGTGGAAGTGGACACGGCATTGGAGATGCAAGCTTGACAAGGCTGGCCTGCAGCCATGGGGACGATGAGCCCGATTTAGAACTCAGCGCCACAGCAAGCCACGGCGCCTATCTTCCCACGTGGTCATGTGACGAATGGATAGATCAACAGGTTCAACTCAACTTTTGCACATGGATCGCTTCGGAACCGTTTGAGGAAGGCCAGCCGACACGGAGTGCGAGACATTGGCTCGGGACAAAATATGAGGCACTTGCGGAGAGCATCACTCCGCGACAGTTTCGGCAGCCTTGCCCATTTCCCGATGAAACTGCCTTGATCCGCGTCAGATCTTACGTGCTGTACGTCTTGCAGCAAACTGCAGCATGTTTCAATACCAGCATGGGCACCATATTCCGAGAGCAGAAAATAGACGGTTGCATGCCAGCCACGAGTCCACGCTGGCCGTCGTAGTACATACTAAGTAGGTACCTGGAACCTGGGGCAGGCACAGGCAATATCAAAGTACCCACTTGGATGGTCGTCTCATATCCGACGCACCACCTGCAGCTCGTCAAAAGATACAACGTGAAGAATAGGACGTCAAAGCCCACAGTGTCAAGTTTTTTTTTCCTCTTCCTTCCCTCACCATGATTCACAACCCCTGACGATCAGGAACAGATAGTCTGGCCCACAGACACTTTCACAACCCGAGTTGCCGAGCTATTATTAATTCTCCAAGACAAGTCATAACATGTTGCATGCACCTCAGAGCAAACACATTTTTTCCCACCAACATGCCAAGCGAGCGTTACACCGCAGCAGCACACGAATTCCAGAAACGGCCATGAAACCTGTGACATAAGCCTTACCAAGTATAGACATCAGACCACTGGGAGTCGCACAGACCTTTGGATAGTGCCTCGTCGTGCAATTTGTCAAAAACAAAATGTTTGCAGCCCCCGAGGCTCAAAGTCTAGACCCCCGTCCGTACCTGCATGTGTTTTTTATTAGGGACAATGCTTCACGTTGCAAAATTAAGCTGGGCGTGCGTGAATCAGAATGTGGCAAATTGCGATATAACATGACTTAACACTGCGATTATAGCCTTGTTGGAGCCAAGGGCTGTGTCCCTGCATTAGTAGCATCGGTAATTTCGAAATCGAGGGACTTGATGATTCCAAGGTTCCCAGCCCATTTTAGCCGCCCACTTTGGCAAAAGAACCCACATCCCCGTCTTTCAAGAGTCGAAATCCTGCTTGACATTCAATGTTCTCACAGGAAAAAAAAAAAGAGGAAAAAAAATTGGATCAAGATACAAGATTGCAAAGTACATACATCCTGGCACCTTTCATCCCTTGGGTAATTGTTCTCTTATCTCTTCAGATGTGAGCACTGCCCCCCCACATTCCGGCTAAATTAAAAGAAAGAAAGCCAAATAAAATACGTACCGCTCACACAAACACACACACACACACAAAAAAGCCACTCGTAAGACAGAACACATCCTTCCTGCTGCCTTCTGCCCGGAAACAAACTTACTCCTAACGGTTTAACGCCACGATCACAAAACTCTTGCTTGCAAGCAAGCGACAAAAGGGGGCCGGCGAGCCCGCCGCTCTTGGAACGTGGAGAAACTCCGGATCGTGACGCCGGCCCAAAACTCTATCTGTCGAATTTGCTTGTCGGGGAGCAAGTCCGTCTTGCTAGTGCCGCCTTTCACGCCAGCGCACGTTGGGTCTCCAAAACGTCAAACACGTCGCGAAACCTTAAAAAAAAAATTACGCAGATGAAGCAGCTACTGCAGTGCCCGTCAGTGCCAATGCCAAGGTTTCCGCGACTGACAGGGCCCGGCGTGCTCCCTCGAAAGCCGCTGCGCGTCGTCGTCGCCGTGTCATCGATTTTCAGTGTTCGAATGTTCCAATTCGGACACCAGCAGCGCCCTAGCTAAGCGCCCATGGTTGTCGGCAACGCCGCCCTTGTCTCAACCAGCCCGCACGCCCCTTGCGCAACGCGAGCCTTGGTGGTGGTAGTAGTGCTACTGCTTGCTAGTACTAGTAGCAGCAGTTACTCCGTAGTATTCATGTACTTGTCGTGTTGGCCGGTACGGCTAGATCACTCCGTCCATGTGTCGCCGTCTCTTCTTGCAGAGATTCTTTGTAATAGCACTGTCTGGTACTAGTATTCAATCGTGCTTCCCCACCTGCCTTACTGGTGTATGGTGGCTCCTTCTTGACCAGTCACGAACGGCGGCGTTTCGGAGCAGCCAAACAACCAAGCCGCGGCGCTGGAGACTTTTGGCGTGGCCAGAACAGACCACCGAGCCTCTTGGCACAAGACTCCCCGTTTGCGTCCAATTGACGGTTTGGCAGTGGTATGACAAGACCTACTAGCCGGCAACAGGAGAGTTTGTTAATGCGGGGAGGTACAACGATACAATAGCCAGCATTTGAAGGCTGTCTTGTCAGAGGATCAACTGGTGCGCTAAAAATGGCATGCCAAACGTCAACACCGAGCGATCAGTGGACAGTTTGTGTAAAGCAACTTCTATTATGAAGTCTTGGTAGTAGTCTATATCTCCCCGTTATCCCAACGTTCCAGTCATTACTCTTCCTCACATCTCAAGGCGTACAATCCAAAAAACCACGTCGTCGCATTTGTGAGGGTATCAGCGATGACTTGCGCCTGCCAACCAAAGAAACAAAACATGCAAGAAAAGAAACCCGAGTCCCCCTGTATCCAAGCAATGCCCTCTATAGTAGAAAAGACAAAATGCCGATGGGTAACCTCCTACAAAGTCTGCCCGAAATGAGCTGTATGCAGGTGTAGCAGAATGCAATCTTTGCCAAGGCCAAGGAAAATAACCGATTAAATAGTAATATAAAAGTACATGGGATGATTGTGAGCCGAGGCCGGCCTGCGAAATCGTGGAATGATACGACCAGGTGTTTCCGCTTGAGCCAGCCCAAGACAGTAAACCTTTTTTTTTTCTTGACGTGGCCGTGGAAGTGGAGTTGGTGCATCGAGGGTATTGTACAGCGAGCGTGTTTGACGATGCCCTTCGAGATTTGCTGCTGACTCCGCTTCCTACACTTCGTCATAATCTCCCCTATCCCTGGTCTGGCAGCTGCCTGCAGAAATGCCGGTAAAGACGAGCCAATTGATTTATTGATATTGCAACGAGGCAGTGGAGGTGCACGTCGTGGGGCTGTTGAGGCAGGTGACCATAACTTGCAGAAGCCAGTTCAAGGAATCCAAGGGTAGATGCATATCTGACCCCACGTCCAGGCAGGTCAGGTAAATGAGACGGCTGACATGCATACTCACGTCATGAGATGCCGTCCAAAGAAAGCCTTGCGTCCAAACATGCAACGGCTCTGTTATTCCAGTCCATTAACAGATCTAAGCCTCCAAGGCTGAGTGGCTCTTCTGTCAAAGTGCGAGCAGTACCAAGAGTGAACATAACAGTGTGAAAGTTTGTCGAAGATCCAGAAGGGTGGAAGCTTTAGCCCCGGTTGGGCAGAGGAGGAAGAGGCCGGCTGGGGGGAGGCCCAGGGCATGGAGGAAGATGAGATGGTCGTTGGGCAGGCATTGTGATTATCGTGGTGAATCTTTGAAGACTCCTGCGTGTATACTGCTCGACAGTAACTGGTGGTGTTGTGATGGAAGGTTCGGGATGGCCGTGGGTTGTAGTCACAGGAACTTGTAGATCTTGAGCCGAGATGGAGGTGCAATGTTGTAGGTAACGACGATGGATTCGTTTGAAGAGAGTCGAAATGAATTTCTCTGGAACTCAAGTGATACTGGAGAAGCATTAACAATTTTGGACGACGAGGGAGGGCCCTTTCCTTTATGTATCCAAAAAGGCGAGGCTCAACAGCACCGAAGCCTGCTCAACCCTCGGAATGGAGACAGCAATCTGAGCATCGGCCAGGCGCCAGTCGCAGGACGACAGGGGTGGGGGCGTCGCCAAGCCACAGGTACAAGAGTACCAGACAGCCAGACTCCAGCCAAGCACCCCCAAGCACCCCCAGTACCCGCCGAGCAAGTACTGCGTTCGGCACCCAGGTACGGAGTACCTGTTGACCTGATTCAGGGCGGTCGGCAGCAAGCTAAAGTTGCTAAGGTTGACGACGTGGTCGTGGCCTGGGTTGTAGCCGTGGTGTGTGGTCGGTCGCGGAAGAGCCCACAGGGCGTGGCCAAGCCATTCCCGCCCAGCCAGGCAAGTACCCTGGAAGTACTGGATGCGCACACGTGGCCCGAGTAGGACATTTCGAGTACTCCAGCACGGATGCACCAACCCAGGAGACCTCAATTACGAGACCGCAGCCGGCCCCACTGGTCAACGCTGAGCCGTGGTCTCAACATTGAAGCGCTCTCAACGAGCGCTGACGCTGTTTTTGTTGCGCAGCCAGGGAGTGGGCCCGCTAGTGAAATTGAAACAGACGCTGGGGGTGCCGGCCATTGGCCCCTGCAACGTCCGGTTTGGACGTCGACCAGCGACATGTGTTGCCCCTGTCTGAACCAGCTGGCTCGTTCATACATAGCCTGGGCTTGATTTACTCTGTATAGAAGGAAAAAAAAGGAAAAACAAACGAGTCGAGGGGCAAGGCAGCGGCCCCCTAGCAGCTCATGCTGCACTGACTGAAAGCGATAATCTGACGCCTCAAGTGCTGTCATAGCAGACAGACCAGTCACTGGTCCCCTAAACGACGGCGCGAAGCCAGGCCCCTCCCCCCAACACTGATTGATGGTATGTACATAAACTCTACCATACCGCCAGATGATGTGGCTATACTAGTACTGTCATACCGCCAAATGATCGCCTCATCTTTCTTTCTGGTGCCATGTACAATGCAGTCAAACAAAAATCGGTGTGGTGTGGTAGCCTTAAAGCCCATCCGATCATGCTATCCGCCGGAAGAATGGGCGCTGCCGTGTTGCATTGGATTCTATCAGCCGAGTCAGTCTAAGACTGCTCGCTGTTCCGTTAATTTGTACTAGTTGGAGGTTTTGCAATTCTGACATGTCTCAACAACAGCGAGGCTGGATGGCCCAAATGAATCTGGGGGCGTCAGTGTCGTTCTTGTATCCACCACAATTAATTTTCCACCGCCTCTGCCTCCCCACCGTATGGAAGCTTCATCGAAGCATCTGACCGGCCCGGTGTACAAAATGTTTGTCCTTTGGATTTTAGTCCACACATGTCTGTACTCCGTCCACCGAACAGGCACCCGGGCAGGTACTTGAGCACAAGCTCGTGGTGGGCCAGCTTCGATTATGCAGCCAGGTCCTCCGTACTGTTGTTAGATGCAGCGCCGTCTCCTTTCATGCCATAGTCGAGTGAGTCGGGTCCCAATCTCGGCTTGATGGCGAGACCTGCCACTATCACGAGGACATTCGACCCGACACCCTGGCCGATCAATTCTGGATGCAAGAATTAGAAGGACATGGGTGGGGGTAATCATCCCACGTCGAGACGTCGGGGTGTCGCGCAAGAGGAATGGATGGCGTGAGAGCGCCTGACGTCAAAGCCAAATTGGCCAACTGTTGTTGTTGTTGTCATGTACAGAGAACGAAGCAGCTTCAGTACTCGTACGTATTACTCCATACTGTCATCCATACTCCGTACACTACATACTACGTACTACGTACCTCGTTCCCGAGTCCTCTGCTCCTTCCCCAACAGCTGCTTGTCTCGGATTGATAACAACTCCCTCATCCACAAACCCCTCAAACTCAGGGCTCACTCCAAAGAAGAAGAAAAAACAGGGTGAGACCTGTCTCTTTTCTAAACGTTATTTCCTTCAGCAGCAAGCCAGAAGGGGCCCGAAATGATGACCGTACAGCCTCACGATGCAACCCGTCGCCGCCTGCCATTTGGTTCAAGCAGCCTAGCTTCACTCCCAGCAACTGTGACACGTAGCACAAACTCCAGTGCAGGAACCGGACAGGGGGGAAGGCGTGCAGGCGTGCCTCAACAGGAAACGCGATCACAAAGCAAGTCATCTGGCCACTTGCTACGTACATACGGCTTGTCCCCGGTCTGCCGTTCATGGCTTAGGCCAGCGTCCCGGCTAGGGAAGCAATGAACGTCCCTCATTAGCCGGGGTTTGGGGTATGTTCCCTACTATGAGTAGAGTCCGGTACTAGTATTACTACAATGTCAATTGATAGCACCATCACCGACCACGAGGAGTCCTGGTCCATTTGCTCGTTCTGCATCAGGACAAGATGCCCAGTCGACGGTGGCAGCGGACCGAATTGTCCAGTTATCGAATATGGGTACCAACTGGTTTGCGGCTGTGATAGCGGACTGGCCTGATGGACGTTATGTGATAGCAAGTGTGACAAACCAAGCAGATCTCGATCGCGGGGAGGGCGTGTTGTTACAAATCAGCTCCTACGATGCTGCAAAGGCCAGTTTTTGCCGGACCTCGAACGGCAGAACCGGCGTCAATTTCCAGCCTCTTTCTTCCCCAGCGTTTGCACCAGGGACATTTCTTCTATTCACGCTGAGATGCTGTTTCTCAGAACGTGTCTTCGGCTAGAAAGTGCTTCAGAATTAAGCTTTTATACCACTAGCGTTGGCCATTACCATTGACAAGCCTTGTCCCTGTTACGGTTATGACATGGCAGTCATAGTTTCGAAGTGCGAATAATTGAGAATAGCATGGATGTCCTCCAGCTTCGCGCGGCATGCCGAACAATATTCATCGACAATGTCGGTCAACCCAAATCGACAACTGAGCGTCAGTCGGGGTCCATTAATCTCCGTCACACTAGTACTACCCAGGGCCTTTCGAGAAGCCCATCACCACACCTCATACCCGAGCGAAACCTTATCCAGAGGAACCGTACGGACAGAGCACAAGCATTGCCGTCAATCAAATCACGGTGAGCCCCTTGGCAAGTCTTTCCAGTCACCAGTCAGCACCCGAGTAAACATGGCATGGCCTGGGCTCGGGTTATTGCCAAGTCTATGTACGGAGTATCACGCGGTCATTCGTCCTACAGCCTTACGACCCAACCATCTTCCCATGGACTTGGGTCGCGTTGCGTCAGGCTGCTAGGTTCGCACCTCGAACACACGAAAATCCAATCATCATCCTTGAAACTATCATAATAGGACTCATAAGCAGGACAAGGACTAGGCCCGCTGCAGCAATGACTCACCTTTTGAGCACTCTGTCTGCTGAGTTGGCAGGCAGATCCAAACACCGCAACTCCAACTTGAGAAGTGCTTGCTCAGTTCTCCTTGCTCCATCTATGTGCAGCTCGGTAGCAGCGGGAATTTGACGATGGTGACGGGCCTGTTCTATCCCCTCGACTGGTCGGGTTGCCTTTTCAAACGTCTCCTCGTGACTCTAGCCCCATGCTCAGCAGGAATCCGGAGATGAGCAATGGATTTGATAAGCGGGTCAACAAAGAGCCACAATGAAATCATAAGGGTCCTAGCCGAACCGGGGTAATAATAGCTGAACAAAGATTCACGAGCATGGGTGCTCTTTTTTTTTTCTTTTTCTAATTCCAGAGGCCCCTTCGGCCCACAAATTGCCATGGATGAATATTGAACGAATCATGCTACCGGTTCCTCGGTAGGTTGCCGAACGATTTGCATACATACACATACGGACAACAATTTGCTCTCAGTGGCCAGAAAGTCACTGTGCAAGAGGCATGCTTCGTGGCAAGTGCTACGAGGGCTTGTTGTCCTACTCTCAGAGTTTGCCTACGTACGAAGTACCAGACCCAAGTTTGAGCATATGCCGCAAGGCGTAGAGGAGACAGGCGGCAGCTAAAGCCATCAGCCCCCTTAGCCGCGCACTATTCCCCAACACATTACTTTCAAGTACCGCACCTACGGAATACCTAATCGTCCTATGCCGACATCTGGGATGGACTTGCTAAAACGGGCTAGTTATCATCGTTGCGTCGTCAATTCGCAACGCCTTGAAGAGAGCCATTGGGTAGTGGGTTGGGTCAAAGTCCAAGGTCAACCTCACCGCCGTTTCATCGCGATGCAGATCTACAACCAGCCTGTTAGAAAATTGCCTCTCGAAGTGAGAATGGCCTCTTCGTCCTCAGAACCATACACACCTGACGGGACACTTCCTTGTGCTATGGCCGATAATTTCGTGGCTGAGGTCAATTTCGATGCCGCATGCTGATGTCCGGGTTGGAACAGTGCACAATGCCCTGTTTCGTGCCTCCACTAGTGCCATATATCAATTGATTGAACGGAGTAGCAAATTTTGACTCAGCATTGTCTGTTTCAGGGCAGTTGACGCTTTTACTTAGGGCTGTGCGGCCTTCGGTCATGGCAGGGGCGGCCCCATTATTTACCAGCAAAATGGGAAGTTGGGGTGGTCGGTGCCGAGATGAGCATTGAGCACATCTGGACGAAATGATTAATTCCGTGGCCTGAGCTTGAGGCTTGCCCATGCGTGCATGCGCCCATACATTGCCAATTAAAAGAGCACGGCCACTTTTCTTCAATGCAATTTAACGAGTAATTGCTTTTTTGGTCTCGTATCCTTTTCCCCCTTCCTTCTTCTTTCTTCCCTGTCATCTAGTCAAAGCTTCCAACGTTGACAGCGACTATCAGCGGCATTCTCAGCACAAGGCGATTATGCATGATGGCTGGGTACATGGGCACTCTACTCCATTCGGACGCAAATCAATCATTACTGCCATGCTGGACCTCCACGGCACCGAGGAGAGGAACTTCGGCCTTGCCGCAAACCCTTCCGGGTGGAAGCCTGAGCTCCCGACTCCCAGTTTCAGCAACATGATGATTCCAATGCTCCCGAGGGACTGAGCCAGGCTCAAAATTTTGCATAGATCATAGCGTGACAGGGGTACATAGGTTTCTGTTTTTTTGGCTGTCGGATCACGGCTGGCGGTGTCGTAAGTCATCCTGCCCAGCGTCAATGGGGACTGGTGAAGTTGAGCATTGGGATGCTGACGGTTGTGACAGCAGCAGAATCGCTGGGTTGCTGTCCCTCGTGCAACATGAAGACGAACATTGAAACCATCCGTGGGGGTTCTGGCCCTGCTACTCCGCAGAAGCACGGCCCAGAGACTGGGATGCTAGACCCCGATGCTTGTCTCTGAACCAGCCGGCTGGGACGGGCGTATCGATAGCCTCCTGTGTCGAAGCCGAGTCGTGTTCGTGCACCACGCAGCCGCGCTGGTTCTGGGTTCTGCGCACGCAGGTGTCATGTGTAAGACGCGACCTGACTTCCAGAACCACTGGTGCTCCCG